GCTTCCGACAAATTCGAGAAACACCAGGAATGATAGAGAGAGTAACCAGATGAATGACAAGACGCGTGCAGGCTTGTCTTTAAATACAAGCTGGTCATTTCGAGCATCTTTTGTAAAAGTAACTAAAACAGAAAATTCATTATATCTCATAAACGAAAACATATAGGACACATATTTATATGACTTTTTTCCATTATTTTTAGGCGTACAATCGAAGTGGGCCACACAAGTTACGAAACACCGTGTATATACTTTAAAATATAAATTATATTCATTATATACGGGGTCGTAAAAATATTAAAATAAAATTGATAGAGGATGAGTGTAGAAATTGAAACGAAATTGAAAAAGGACGAGCGTCGATGGAACAGAAAACATCCGTCTTGTGTCAGAAAGAAAATGAAATTCCAAGAGAAGAGGAGAAGAAAAAAGGGGATACGAAGACGTGAATGTTATAACAAAATCGAAACGAAGACGAGTGTGAGGAAAGGGACAGAGAGCATCCATCTTGCCTGGAAAAAAGAAAATAAAATTCTGGCTGACTCGTGGGCCAACAACGCACGATACAGGTCCGCCTTAAAGAATTTCGAAGCACCACCTCTGGCCACCAGTTCAACAGTCTACCTGGCCCGATATAGGATCATTAGGCGCGACCTTTCTTCGATCAAGAGTTCCAAGAATTGCTGAGAAAGAGTCTGATGGAACTGAGAAATATTTTCTTAATTTTTTTTTTTTTCATGCAGGTTTAAAGTCGCACAGAGATCATTAGTGACCAGATACTTGGATGATACTCATATTTTGTAGTATCTATACTACGATTTGCGTTTATTAAGAATTGGAGTGTTCTCAGATGATTTTGGAAAGTCAGGTGGGATTAATTCTATGGAATCTTCTCTGCCGCTCAAAGTTTGTGCATTCGTGCCAAATGTGTTGAGCCGTGAGAGATTTTTGACATCTGTTGCAAAAGTATTATACAGAGAGCTGTTGCAGTGTTGTTGATTAGGTGTTACTCACCGTTCGGACAGCTGAAGACGTTCGTGGCAGGGACCTGTAACAGAGAAATGTGAAAGATTGCGTTAATGAAATGACGATTCATGAAGCAGTCTTATCTTTCATGCCATTACATGGGAAATCGACTCGAATCGATTCTCGCATAAATCGAAGATTTCCCTCACACTTTGATATTATTAGCTGTAATACTTTCTCAGTGTTAAGTACATTTAGGTAAAACGAAATGGGCAAAGCAAATAATAAATTTATTAATAAATTAAATTAAATTAAATAATTAATAATATTTCGATAAATAATTTATTAAATAATAAATAATTTATTAAGTAATAAATTAAACACTTCTCAATAATTTCTATCCAGTGATATCGTGCCGACGAGTTCAAAAAGAAATCGACGAATCATTGTGTACTGGTTTGGTCACTCGTTATGGTCCGCAATCAGTTGCCAGCGCAACGTGGTTAATAAGAAAGCCAACAGACTGAGAGTGTGGAGGCTCATGCACAGTCAAATCAATTGTCACAGTTAAACAGTGTTACAAGAAATTACAGTAGACGTCAAATGATTAAGTTAGCAATAAATCATAGGAGTAGCAAGATCCATCATAGTTAATTTCCCACATCAGTGGGTGGTCCCTCGAATCCCGAATATACAAGCAAAGATATTACGATTATTATTTTTTCAATAATGAATAACTGATAAATTTTTGGAAAAGATTCAAAACTTGAAGAGTTGTTAACTAAAAATGTGCTCTAAATCGGTGTGTACTATAAATATAGTTGATAGCAGGCATAGAATTGCAATGGTGAATCAAGAAATCTCCACAGAATCGGCTCTTGCTCACCCAATTCCCACTCAACATCGACTCGATCCATCTAACGTCTAAGTATCGACGTATCCGCGTCTGTTGTTACACAAACTTCACGCTCGTTGGATCTTGCGGCGCGTTTCCAGTTCGACGAACGATAAAAACCGCGAAACGCGTGGGACAAAAGTACCGGAAGAGCAGCCGGAAATTACGTTAACGCGAGCTACGGCGTCGATTGCGTGAAACGACGAAGGGAAAAAATTCTCGTCTGTTAAATTCTTTGAAAGTTCTTCTTCTTCTTGGAATCCTCTCGAAAAAAACATCTAAAAATATTTAAATGCCAACTGAAATCCCTCGAGTTTCATCAAGTCGTACGACACAAGAAGAAGAAAAATTTCTCGTTCTTCTATTTTTTTCTTTTTTTTTTTTTTCTTTTCTGCCTATTTTCGAAAAGAGCTACGAACGCGCGCGAAATGGTGCGGACGCACGATAGCGAGCCGAGATAAAACGGCATTGTTATTTCCCCCGCGGAGAAAGTGAACGAAGCCAATCTAGCGGAGGATCTGTTGGTTTTGCTCGCATCTTCGCCGGAAAGCGGCACCGCGTCGTGTTTCCCTCGCAAGTATGTTGTACGTGGATGCGAGTTCTCTCGTGGGTTTCCCCCGCGAGAATCCCAGAATATCAGTGACATAACGGTGTGCTGCATTCCTGAAGGAGGTGCGATGAGAGGCGCCCGTGAGAGGAGAAATTCCACGCGGCCAGTCGACGCGATCACTGACGTTCAATTATTGATCGAAAGATCTCTTCTGTCACTCAAGGAATTTTATTTCATTTCTTTCCCATTTGATTCTTTCTTTTTTTTTCTCTCTCTCTTTCCCTCTTAACCCTTTCCAAGTGCAAACAACTCGGAAAATAATTAAAACTCTGTCAACATTTTTTTTAATGTTACTAAATTACGTAATTAAAATACAACCGAAACAGTATAATAGTATGGAATGATAATTAAAAGCGACTGAAGTACGTGTTAGTGCATTATTAAATAAAAGGAAGAAAGAAATTAGCTCAGAATCAAACTGTTTTACGCAGTTATACAGGGTGGGCCAAAAGTCACATTGTGTTGAAATAAAAATTCAATTTAAAATTAACTTTCTTTCTTGTGTCTTGATATTTTATTTAAAAAAATACAACTAAAACAGTATAATAATATGAACTGATATAGTATACAATATAGTATAGTATACAACTAAAAGTATAATAGTATGGTATAGTACCGTATAGTTTAGTATAGTTATAGATTTTTAATTAAAAAATACAACTAAAACAGTATAATAGTACGAACTATTATAGTATACATATAGTATAGTATACAACTAAAACAGTATGAAATATAATAGTATAAAATAATATTTAAAAGCAACTGAAATACGTGTATTATTAAATAAAAGGAAAAAAAATTAACGCAGATGTTGAATCAAACTGTTATAGAGGGTGGACCAAAATTCACATTGTGGTAAAATAAAAATTTAACTTTCTTTCTTGTGTCTTGATGTTTCATTAAACAGTATAATAACTAAAACAGTATGAACTAGTAATAGTATGAACTAGTATAGTCTACAATACATATAGTATAGTATATAGTTTTATTAAACAGTATAATAACTAAAATATAATAGTGTGAACTAGTATAGCATACAATACATATAGTGTAGTATACAACTAAAACAGTATAACAGTATGAAATAATAATTAAAAGCGACTGAAGTACGTGTTAGTGCATTATTAAATAAAAGGAAAAAAGAAATTAGCACAGAATCAAACTGTTTTACGCAGTAATTTTATACAGAGTATTGCCAAAAGTCACTTAAATTCTGCTAAAATAAAAATTCAATTTAAAATTAACTTTCTTTCTTCTATCTTAATGTTTCATTAAAAAAAAAAAAAAAAAAAAAGAATAGGCGGGAAGAAACATTTGGCACGCACTTGCACTTAAATACAGCTGTTGTATTTCAACACGTTGCAGTTGGTAACACTGCGCGTCGGATAGGGCACACGCGTGCACTGAAATTCACTTTCACCTGGCGCGCACGGCGCGCTCAGGTGCCGAGCTGAACGAGCGAGCCAATAGCGGCGACTACAGGCGAGACTCGAGATGCCAATTACTTCATAATTTCTCGGCTCGATTTCTCAAGAATTCTAGGCGAGCTGTTATCTCGCGAAACGAGGATCCGCCCTCCTGGCACACACTGAGCCTCGAACTTGAATCGAGAGATCCTATTGCTCGTCCTCGCGTCGATGAAAATTAGAGTACATCCGAACGACGTGTTATATCGTTGCTCGAGCGATCCAGATCTTGAGCAATCGGTCCTCGTTACAAATTCTATTGAGTCACAATCAAGAGAAAATACTATAGTTTGTTTTTGCTTTTACTTTTCGCGACAACGTGCCGTCTAAACGTAGATACGAATCTCACTGTGATGTCGATGAACATCGCAGATATCGACGAAGATGAGTTTTTTCATTGTTGAGAAACACCGTGCGACTCTTCGATCCGATCTTTCAATCGTTTCGTTATGCTCGCTCCGCGCGACCACGAGGCGCAGGTTTCGCTACGACGCGAAGGAGAAATTGCGAAATGTCTCGTGTAACGTGTCATTGATGATTTTTAGCTGACACGTTTCGAAAATTATGTTACACAGTTGTATATCGATGGTCAACTATAGAAAGAGCTATATATAGGGTGTTCCACGACTGGTGATCAACCGAGGGATGATTTTATGTGTAAAAATGTGTCGAAAAAAAGGAGTAAAATTCGCACAGCGCAGGGTGGGCCAAAAGTTTCTTCCCATCTATTTCTTTTTAATAAAACATCCAAATATAAGAGAAATTTAAGTTTAAATTTTAGTTTAAAATGAAATATAATATAATAAAAATATAATATATTTGTTTAATAAAAATTTAAGAAAAATTTAAGTTTAAATGAAATATAATGTAATAAAAATATAATATATTTATATAATAAAAATTTAAGAAAAGTCAGTTTAAAATGAAATATAATGTAATAAAAATATAATATATTTATATAATAAAAATTTAAGGAAAGTTTAAGTTTAAATTTCAGTTTAAAATAAATATAATAAATATAATATAATACAATAAAAATATAATACATTTATATAATAAAAATTTAAGAAAAATTTAAGTTTAAATTTCAGTTTAAAATGAATATAATAAATATAATATATAATATAATATAATATAATATAATATAATAAATATAATATAATGCAACAAAAATATATGTATATAATACAAATTTAAGAAAAATTTAAATTTAAAATGAAATATAATATAATAAAAATATAATATATTTAAATATATAATATATAATATATAATAAAAATTTAAGAAAAATTTAAGTTTAAATTTCAGTTAAACATGACTTATTCCAGTATGTTTTAATAATTATTTCTTTCAACAGTTGATTTATTCGTTGATTTGTTCATTTATTATTTTAGTAAGAAGTAATTTTCGGTCCACCCTGTATTTTGTAGGAACCTATCTGCTATGTATAGGAAGGCTATTCGCACACACGCACACATACACGCACGTGAAACAATGTCGATCGCGAGCAGTGTCATCGAGTAACGTAATCGAGCGCTCACCTGAGACTCCGTTAGCTGAAGATGGCACAAGAGGACGGCGACCCACACGGCCGCCAATTCTCTTATCAGCATATTCCTGCAACAGAGAAGAAAACAGTCTCGTTTCAGCAAGCTTGACCGTTCGTTCGTTCGTTCGTTCATTAACAATGAAGAAAAAGAAAATGGGAACACGGCCGAAGCTGTGTTTGAACTGTTCGCTGTAATGTGGCAGGGACTACGTGCAGACCTTGACACTTTCGAAACACATTATTTGCATTGAAACGGCGCTGACATTTAAAATAACCATAAACAAATAAAGATGTAGTTTCTCTTGCGAATATCATTTGAGTAAATTATCGTGCGCATGCGAAATACGCGTACGATTTTTCTTTATGTAGATGTAATAACGTATCTACATTCCACAGGTTCCCATAAAAATTCCTTACGGTTTCTGCGAGGCGAATTGTGGCACAGCCTGTTGCATACCTTACGCCTAATCGTATAACGCGATAAATCACCGTACGGACGTCGATTTATTGTTTAATGGAATTGCATTATCGCCGCTCATCATCGATTCGTACAGTTAATTTAGATTGAAACAATTGCTGTTTCGAAACAAATGTCTGTTCGTTCGAATTGACCTGTCGTTCGCTGTTTCTAAATAATAATATAGAATAAATAAGAATAATAAAAATAATAAATAAATAATAATATAGAATAATATAGAATAATATAGAATAAATTTCTACAAGCTACGTACAGTGAAACTGTACACGTGACGATGAAAAAATTTATCGGTACTTTGAATTGTTATAACTTTGCTAAAAAGTTGAAAATCACGTGAGAATCCACTTGGTCTCACGTTTCAAAACTATCAAAATTACCATAGTATAATCAAAATAGTACAATGAATTTATATACAATAAATACAATATTCACAAGATAAATTACACAATATAAAATCACGTATGTATTTAATACAGTACAAATACGATATATTTTATTCTATTATATTATTAATACATTGTATTATTTATATATTAATATATATTAATATATATTATTGTATACATTGTTAATATATACAATGTATTATTATTGTATTACTGTGATATATATCGTATTATAAAATGCATATGCGATAATAATTGAACATTAAAAATAAAAATGCCCTAAGATTTTTGAGCAGTAGTGCAGTTTGCGCATTCCCAAAGAATACGTCGATATCAACAAAAAGGAAGTGTAAAAGGAACTCTGTCAGATTGCTGAACGTCGAAGCAAACGAACGAGGAAACCAAGCGCAACAAACGCACGTTGGGGAGGCCAACGACTTGGATTTCTCCAATTGTTGAATCGACGCACGTGAACGGTGCGCGTTCGTCGCAGGAGGAAGACACACACACACACACACACACACACACACACACACACACATGCGCACACGTTCCCCAGTAGATCCCCTTGGGAACCGTTACACCGCCACCGATAATCGACAGAGTGGCGGTGAAGAGAGGCGAAGGTGGCACCAAGCGTTTGACTCGACTCGACTCGGCTCGACTTCCCGCAAGAGCATAATCGTAATCTCGCGGCGTGGCCGGTCTAGACGATGCACACTTCCTGTCGATTGCAACTAACGGGTCTTCCGGCCCGGTCGAACGATCATCATCCGCGTTCGTTTCAACGTTCAACGTTCAACATACGTACGTACGTGCGAACGTGGAACGACTCAGTCGATCGGGCAACAGTAATTAACGGTAGAGGGAAATAAATAAATTCGACAAGCGTCAATCGGCAATTAGAGAGGCGCGACCTAATTACACGCTCGAAGAGAGCAACAGCAATTGAAATAGCAACCAGAGTTGCGCTCGTATCGCAGTAGGCACTGTTACCGTTATCGAGTGCCCCCCGTCGTTGCATTGTTTCCGTCTCTTTCGTCTCCTCGAGACGGATCTCCTCGGTGTTCCAGCGAGTCGTTGCTTTCTAATCTCCCGTGTAGAAACTCCCAAAAAAACGTTAATTCGTCCTTTCTATTTACCAAGAACATTAGCACTCTCACCTTCCCTCTCGCTCCGAGCTGATAAAACACTTGCACTCGAAAAGAAAAAGAGAGAAAAAAGGATATTAATACTGAACTGAACTGATAAAACATTTCCTCTCGAGAAAAAAGAAATGAGGATTCTTAATTCGCCGGCACAATGAACGTTGTGAAGAAACGAAGAGAGTCGAATTGCGAGAGAAAAATCTCTGCCCGTTTCCAAAATCGGAAAGTGGAAACCGAAAGAGGGTGATTAACTCTTTGCCCTGGGAAATTTCTGTATCATCTACCAGCAATTTGTTTACGATAATTTAAATAGCGAGTGGAATAGAATGATATAGCATTGGAAATGGTATTTATCCTGTTTAAATGGTATTTAGCATGGAATTTTCGTTGATTGTATTTCTCTAGTATGTGAGAATGCTTCGTTTAAAGCAATCACCAAGCATAGTATAAGTTAATTATATAATTTCAATTTTCTGAAATATTCCCTTTGCCATTTTATAAACTTTCGTAGGAAGTTTAATTTATGCGAATTGTCCCGAATTGATCAAATAACAATTTGATGAGTTTTATTTTGAACGTCGACTGCCACCTCAAGAATTTCATTATTCCTCTTGTATCGTTATATTATTTTGCATCATACTTAACCTACTACATTATATTACACCATAACCTAAACCGAACTTAAGCTTAACCTACATATATTATATTATACCTATGTTCATTCTAACTATCAGCAATTGTAAGAAGAAATTTTACAATTTTAGCTGTTAGCTAAATTCAAATATGCCTTCTTATAGGGGGCAGTGTAAAGGGTTAAATAGGGTTATGTCTCTCATTCGCTTAAACAAAAGAAAGAATTCAAAGAAAAGATCGACTCGAGAAGAAAGGCATTTCTTTCGCGTGTCGCAGTTGACAGTCGAATAATAATGCGACGTCATCGAATAATTCGCCGACGTTGTCGAACAATTTGTCAAAGGTTCAAGGAAAACAACGCGTTGCGCGAGTTGCCGGCTCTCTCAAGGCAGCTTGGCGAACAGGAGGAACGCTAAAGGAATGCACGTGCAACGCGCATGCGCACGCGCATGCGCAGTTGACGCGCGGCTAATCGCGGGTTAAAAGTGTGACGCAACAGAGCCGCGGGCTCGTGGGAAGCGAGCCGCGCACCCACGAACGCGTGGAAAACCCGCCGTTGCCACCGACCGGCGTAATTCGCGAAAGTTTATTATTTCCGAGCTCTGTTCGTTCGCCAAATAGAAAGACGAACGAATACACCCTTATGCAACGCTCCATTGTTCATCGCACCGCGACAATTGCGACGACGAAACGCGTAATTGGACGAGACTATGTTCGTCTGCCGCGGTGTTTGCCAATTCTGTGAGATTCTGAAGCGAAATGGACGTAATCGGTCGCACGATATATAGGGTGTTTCGTAACTTTTAGGGCCCCCTTCGGGAGCTGATTGTACATCTAAAAATAATGAAAAAAAAGTCATATAAATATATGTCCTATCTGTCTTCGTTTGTGAGATACAATGAATTTTATAAACAGAGCAAACTCTAGTAAGCTAGTTTTACCAGGGATAGTATATTCAATTTTCATAATA